CCGGCCACCGTTGCAAGCGGTTATTCTGCCTCCTAGTAGACGAGCTGGAGGAGGAAGAAGAGGAACAGGCGGCACAAGAACCCGAGATCTCCCTCCATGCCATCACTAGAGTCCAAAACTCCCAAACCATGCAGCTGTAGGCCCAGGTGGCAGGAAAAAAGGTACGGATTACCAATCACAAATAGGGGTAGATTGGAGCAATCTATTCGTGGGCGATTTGAGCTTACTATGTTAAAAGCATGATTCAGCTCGGTTTAACTCGAGTTTTAAGTTAAATCCACCATAGAAGCTTTGATGGCTAATTGTGGCTCTCGAAGCTTGTGTTTTTTTTTTTTTAATCCACTCCTAATGTTATGTTTGCTTGCCGTGTAAATCCAAAAGGATTATAACACCGATGGGTTCATAAGAACCTAGAATGGGAATTAGATGTTTGGTCCCATTTATCACTCTTTGCATTTGATAAATTGATTGAGGTAAAACTCTAATCTTGATAAAACCCAACGGTTTCTAACCGAAAGGTTGCAATTCTTGACAGCCGGCCTTGAGAAAACCAACTTAATCGGCATATACAGATACAACAGCAGACATAATAGTGGTGCATAGAGAAGAACGACTCTTCACCAGAGTGGAGTGGAAGAAACTTAGCAGTCCACAGGACGGTGGTCGAGGAGACTATCTTCCAAAACAGAGCACTGTTTGTTTCAGACTTTCAATATCCAGCAACAACCACCCATAAATGCAAATACGCAACACCGGCGCATGAAGTCCCCCCACTATTCTCCTCATCTAACATTGCAATTTTGTAAATACACTCTTTAGTGCCATGAGGATCCAAATTGTCATTTGGGGTTACTTCCGGTGAAATTGTCTTATAGAATATCGTTTAAGAAGGATTCCATCTCTCTTTTTCATTTCCTTCCCACCGCTCCAACGGTTAAGTTCGCTTTGGGGGGGTTWACTTCGGCTGTTGGGGCCCAATAATATAAGCTGTTGAGACGGTTTCTGGGCTTAACACGTTCTTGGCAGTTCACCTATTCATGTCCATACTTTAGTATTTAATAAAAATAAATTAACATATAATTATTAATTTACCTGTTCTCACAATAACGTGACATTTCCAAAAATTTTCTCAACAGCAGAGGCTGTTGGCCCTCAACAATTAAAGTTTTTTCGATATGTTTATGAGTGGAGGAGAGTGGTGGAAAGAATTTTACATAAAAGAAATCAACGTGTCTTTCTTATATTGATTATCAATGTAAAAATCCTTCAAAATGGAGTTTTACACTGCAATATGACACTGATCTGGTATTTACAGTGCAAATAAACGTGGCCTAAATTGTTTATTATTAAATTGTAAGAGGTGTTTCATTCCGTTGTCAATTTCTTGAAAAATCGTGCTACACATAAGATATTTTCAAAAAACGGTAAAATAATTCTTTTCCATGTTCTCAAAAAATGACCCACTTTGGAAAACGTCAATTTTGACATTTTTTGATTTCGCAAACACTGCAAGAGTTCACATCCTCTGTCCCCTTGGCATAGAAAATTTAAAATAGGAAAGATAGACAGTGTGGTAGATCATTACGGGATAGAGGATGTGATTAGGGGTGTAAATGGGGAGGGTTGGGTCAGATTTATGGTCAGTTCGGGCTTGACCCAAAAATTTTGGGCTTAAGGATCAAGCCCAAACCGAGCTTGAGGTCAAGTCTGATCTTCCCAATATGAGCCCAGCCCACACTGTAATTTGATGCATTCAGATTGGGTTAAGGCCCGGGCCAGGCTTGGATTGGTCAGTGAACTCACTCTATACATACATAAGTATTATCTAAGGATTAGGCCTGGGTCTGGCCCTATAAAAATAAAAAAGTCTGACTTCTTAGGCCTGAACCCGGTTTAAAGACCAAAAATCTAAACCCAGCCCGTGTAAAATTTTGGGCTGAGCACTCCCAAATTGCAACCCTATACGTAATTTCACCCCTAGATGGTCGATGACGTGGCTGATATAGAACCTTTCTCATAAAATGGCGATAGAATAAAAAACCTTCACGTATTGTCGTTTCCTGAAAACAAAAACCAAAATTATAAAACGTCAATGGAACCAAGTCATAAGCTCAAGTAGATCGTTGGTTTATGATTGGTGGCATCAGGATAAGGCTGTAACCATGGTCACAGGAATTCGAAACAGCAGGCAAGAACTACCGGCCAACAATGGGCAACAACACCACCACATGGCCATGGGGCGTTTCGGAATCTCCTAAACCTTTCCTCCATTTTCTCCTGGAGTTGTTTATTCTTGAGTCCAATTTGTATTTCAATGAGTGTGCACACATTACCAGCAATTGTGGTCGTTTAGAAAATTACTGATCCGTAATCCGCCCCCATCTGCAATTAGAGAGAGGGAAAGAGAGAGAGATGAAGGCGAGCAAGCCGAAGGCAGTGGTTGTTGGGGGCAGCATAGCAGGGATATCGTGCGCTCATGCTCTCCAAGCAGCAGGATGGGAAGCCGTAGTGCTCGAGAAATCGAGCGCACCCCCTACCGGAAGTCCAACCGGTGCTGGGCTTGGGCTGGATCCTATGGCTCGGAAATTCATTGATTCGTGGCTTCACCAACCTCACCTTCTCCACAACACCACCTTGCCCCTCACCATCGATCAGGTACTTTTTTACCCAATTTCCTAATTAGTCCTTGTTGCTCTAATGTTTTACGATTATGTCCGCCGGAGGAAGCTTGTAGTTCTTGTTCTCTGAACTTCTCTCCCTCCATATTATAAAATTTCGGTTTCTTAGTAGAACCAAGTAACAGATGGGGAGAAGAAGATCAGCTGGACACTGGCAAGGGATGAAGACTTCAATTTCAGAGCAGCGCACTGGGCCGGTCTCCATGGCCTTCTATATAGGGCTCTACCACCCCACATGGTCCTCTGGGGTCATCTCTTCCTCTCTTTCTGCGTGTCAGACGACAAGGCCTCTGTTAAAGTTACAGCCAGAGTTCTTCAAACTGGGGAGATCATTGAGATAGTTGGGGATTTGCTCATTGCAGCAGATGGGTGCCTGTCCAAGATCCGTCAGAGTTTCCTACCTGATCTTAAACTGAGGTTTGATGCTAAATCGTCATTCTTAACTCATGTCAACGAATATTTCCTACTAAAGGTCTACAGTTTAAATTGAAAATCTTTTTCCATATGTTTAAAGTATTATACTATCAACATCAAGATCCCTGTCTGTTTATCTTTTTCCATAGGTTTGATTCTAATAGCTGTTTAGTTATCAAATTCAAAAGCCACAACTGAAAAGTGTTAATGCTCATGTTTTTGTAGGTATTCAGGTTACGCTGCGTGGAGGGGTGTTCTCGATTTCTCGGGGGATGAGAATTCAGACATCATTGTTGGCATTCGCAAGGCTTATCCAGAACTTGGGAAATGTTTGTACTTTGACTTAGGCCCGGGAACCCACTGTGTGCTCTATGAGCTTCTGAACAAAAGGATCAACTGGATTTGGTACGTCAATCAACCAGAGCCGGAACTGAAGGTGATGGTTCTTGTTCTTCTCCTATCATAGTGTCATATCTCCTTCATTGTGATTTCAAAATTTTGTTCTTTTCATATTTCCAATTGGCAATTTAGATGCATAAGTTTTCTATTTTAAGGCATTTAAATGTTACACCCTAATTGAACTAAGTAGATGTTGACTAATAACTTCATTTATTCAGGGGAATTCAGTTACCATGAAAGTAAGCAACGACATGGTCAAGAAAATGCACACAGATGCAGAGGAATTTTGGCTCCCAGAGTTAGCGCGAGTCATGAAGGAAACAAAGGAACCCTTCGTCAATGTAATTTATGATTGTGATCCTTTAGAACATCTCTTCTGGAATAATGTGGTACTAGTTGGAGATGCAGCTCACCCCACTTCCCCTCATGGCCTGAGAAGCACAAACATGTCAATATTAGATGCTGCAGTGTTAGGGAAATGCCTTCAGAAGTGGGGTTCAAACAACCTGCATTTGGCACTAAAAGAGTTTGAATCCATCCGACTACCGGTTATTTCAAAGCAAGTTCTACACTCACGGCGAATGGGCCGTATTAAACAAGGCTTGGCTCTCCCTGATCGTAGGACTTTTGATCCCAAGGCAGCAACTATGGAGGACTGCCAAGAACTTCAACAGAAAATGATGCCCTTCTTTGCTAATGCTCCTTTTGAGCTTTACTAGTTGATTCTACCCGAGACTTGGTCCTGTAATGTTTCTAGTCCTTGCTCAACTTATCTAATGTCCAAATTTGACTTGTTAATACAAATTGGAAAAAGGAAATTTTATAGTAACCACACCATTTTGTATATGATGTGTTAACCTGTGCGAAGAATTTGTAATTTCATCAATTGTGTGTGTGTGTTTTATAGATTTTACAACACCATTAGATGAGCATAACTATTTCCTTGTAAAAAATGCGTCTGCAGATCATAAGGTACTTTGTTAATAGTTTAACATATGACAGTCATAGTTCCAACTTGCCATTTTCTGTCTTGGGTTTCATGGATGCATAATTGTAAATTTTATTTGATACTACAGTTACAGGGTGGGCCTTGGCGCAATGGTTGGGTTGCTCCATTAAGACCTTGGTGACCAGGGTTCAAATCTGTGTATCTGTAGGAATAACCGAATAAGGCTGTGTACATCTGTCCCTCATGAGATCCTGCATAAGAAGGAGGCTTGTGCATTTGGCTGCCCTTTTGTTTTGATACTGCAGTTCCTTCAATGCTTTAACCCTTCTTATAGAGCGTCATAATTCTGTCAGATACTCAGATGGTATAATAATCTTAATTCCTAATGATACTCAATATCTTGATTTCTTTTTTGGCTTTCTGAACTTTGGCAATTATGCAAGTAACCAGAAATGGATTGTGTTAAATGACCACTCTACACTCTCAATATGTTGTAGAGACTAGTATTTTGACAAGATTTGAAAGATGTACAACCAAAATAAGGGGCAATGTACAAACTTGTGAGGGGAATTACAATTTGAGAAATGAGAAGACTACAATGAACTTTCTTGCAGGTATGAATGCCTTGAGCATCGTAAATTTGGTATTTTCAGGGGTCTAGTGTGTATTGTTAGCAATTTTACCAAGATATGCATGCCTGGAGCTGGACCATCATACATTTGGTAGAATGTGGGACCTAGTGCGTTAGCTAATTTAGCCAGATATGCCAAGGACATTGCTAACTTTTAAAGTGAACAGCCCAAGCTCACCCTTGAGATATTTTAAGTATGTTAAGAATTGGCTTATCTAGTTCTTCCATGATAAGTCTCACCTATCACTTAGATGCCCTACAATATTGATCATGAATATTACAATTAAAGAGAAAAGCATAATTGTAGAAAATGTCTCATGAAAAAGGTATAACTTTTATTAGCAAAGAGAATGCCAAATTATGTGCATCTAACTTTGAATGAATAGAAGGAAATCTCATTTCCAACACTTGGCTCCCTAAAGGGTGTAACTTCAGAGTGATGGGTCCTAGGCCTAATGGAGGGAGTCTGAAGAAGGTAGCAAACTTAGTTGATGAAGAAGCTAGAGCCTAGAAGATGGAAAGTTGGAATGGTCAATGGAAACTTCATTCCTAGTATAGTTTCACTAATTCTATCCCTTCCTCCAAGTCTTTATAATTGGGAGGATAAGTTGATTTGCATACTTGACCCTAAATTAAGTCAGCTTTCATTTGGCCATTAGATTCTTCTTAGTTGAGGATCAAGTTGGAGAGTATCAAGATGTCTTTTTAATAAGAAGAAGAAGAAGAAGAAGAAGAATTTATTAACAATTAAAAGAAGGAAAGGAGGGGGGCATGAGATCTTACCCTCGATATAAAAACTAAGAGCCGAAGCTTGACAGAAAGAAAAAGGTAAAGCAAAATAATAAGAGTAACTTAAGAATAATGGGGATGGTAACCTTTATTTATTCTATGAACATTTCCTAAATGAGATGTCTTCTGGGTCTTCTTGGATTTAGAATTCTTTTTCTTTCTCTTGATTCTTGGATCTTTTTTGATTTAGAATTCTTTTTCTTTCTCTTGCTTTTGACTGTCACCCAATTTTGTTTTGAGCCATTTGTCTCTTTGGGTATAGTAGTTTTAGTTGGTTTCTTACCCATAAAATTACTTTTCTTTACAAGTGTGTTTATAAGAATAGAGTCATCACACCTATATTATTAGGAGCACCCTCAGCTCTGTAGCGACGAGACCTACTAAAAAGCAAGTGCACACTATCATGGATTCCAATCTCCTGATCGTCATGACTCCATAAGAGTTTGAAGATGTCCCCCCATCCTTTTGGAAAAAGATTTGGAATTTGAAAATTGAGCTAAAAGTCAAAACTTTCATATGGAGGTGTTGCCAAAATGCATTTGGTTGTTAATTACAATCTTTAAGCTACGGGAATAGGAAGCAATAGCAAATGTAATTTTTGCATGTATGAGAAGTTTGTTTTGCATGCCTTAATCAAGTGTGTTCATGCTTGAATATTTGGTTTGGGTGCTACTTTGGTTATAGATGATCGAATGTAGTTGCTTCAAATAGATCTTTCAAGACGTGGTTATACAATATTTTTTTTGTTGTTTAAATGATTTAAATCATTATGACTTGGATACATTGAATTAAGTCTAGAAATGATTTGATTTTTAATGAGTCTCAGGGTTTGTTTGTTTTCTCTAAAGGCTGACATCTGAAAGTGCGATGATTACATTAAGAGGTATATTGGTATTAGTGAACTTTTCTTTCCTCTAAACTCTAAATGCAGAAAATGTTGTTACGAATTCTGAAATTTGAAAATAATCAAATATCCATTTTGACTCTATATATGAGAGTTTGCATGTCTTTTTTGGAGGTATCATTGGAAAAACAAAAAGTTGTATAATTGCAGTTTAAGAAATAAGAGATAAGAGAAAATGAATAACCGTTTTTCTCTTAAAGTTAAAAGATTCTTCTTAAGAGATAAGAGTTAAAAGGAAACGAATAGACCCTCACTCTCATCTTGATATAGGATGAGAATCAAAATCAAAAGAAAGCGTTGGAGCTGATCTTGCTAGATTCATGGCAGGAGACCTCAAGATCTTAGGTGCCCTCCCAAGGAGTCCAATGCATGAGGACCTCTAGTATGTGGTAGTCTAGTGTGGCCCACTACACTATCCCTCCTTGTTCGCATCAGCCTTGTCAACACAGAATAATGGAAGCCATCTTGAGAATTACATATATAGATACAGATAAGGGTGTCAATGGACCTAGTTTGGTTTGGATCTCGTATAGTCTAAAATCAATTTGGATGGACCAGCAAGACATATTGGATTGGATTAATCCGATTCAAAATATTTATTAGATTGGATTGGACCTGATCCATTGATATAAGATAAGAATATATGTGTCAAATGTCAATGGACTAGGTTTGGGTTGAAATCAATTTAAATCAAAATGAATTTGAACGCACTGGATAGTTTAGATATTAAATTAGACCATTCCAAATTGCTCCAAAATATTCATTGGATTAGATTGGACCTTGTCCATTTATAATAGACTATGGATCGGATTTGACAAAATCTGATCCAATTGACACCCCTATCGAGAGCAGTGGTCGTCCCTGTGAACGGCTTGGATCCTCAATTAGATAAAAAGTCGACCACGTCAGTGACTCCAGTACGCAACACGGCAGAGATGGGACCCAGTTACCCAGTCCCACGTTCCCCTTCTGCATCAGTGTTGCCGAACGGTGTAGATTTTTTTATATACGAAAAAACAAAAACTGATTCAACGAATCAACTTCATTTCGACTCAGTGAATGACATGACTCTTTCGTCTCTTCCTATTTCAAAACAACGACCAATCTGGAATGTGTACACGATGAACGATCTGGATTTTTCTCACGGTAGATTTCCATGGTATAGAACTTGTAGTAGACAGTAGATACCCAGATTACTAAACAGGTGGTCTTCCCGGTTTGAAGTCTTCACCGCAGCCATGGACGGCAATAAATCGTAAAAGTCGCGGGAAAATGCCATTAACGTCCTGAGAGCAGATCTCCAAACTCGCCTGTCAACAGAAGAAGGAAACGCAGTACGCCCCTGTCAAGTTCTCAGTTTTGCTCGCCTCTAACTTGTAAGGTAGACTTTCACCTGTTTTGGGTCTTTCTAAGTTCTATCTATACAAATTGCTGCCAGTGTCGGTGATGAGTTTTCTTCGTTTCTATTGAGAAATTTAGGGTTTTGGATTTAATGGTGACTTTTACGGTTTTACCATTCTCTATTTTGACTTGGCTTGTTTATTTCGTTCAGAATTAAAGAGAAACTTTGCTTTATTTGGGGATTCTTTCTTATCTTCAACATTTCCGCCAGAAAGAGCAGATCAAGATATTTGGGTCTTCAGAAGTGTTTACTAGATTTAGCTTCGTAATTTGGTGACGGTTCCGTTCAGTGTCTGTGAATTGTTTTTGATCTGTATACGTCGAATGTGCTGATAGAAGTTTTTTGGTCAGTGAAGGATCTGCTAAATCTAGCGGCAGATTTGGCAATGGCTTCCACCAGATTTGATAGTTCAAAGCAATACTACGCCACTAGTAGTCTCGTTGTCGGATATGCTCTTTGTTCGAGCTTGCTCGCTGTCATTAACAAGTACGCCATTACCAAATTCCCCTTCCCTGGTCTTCTGACTGCATTGCAGTACTTGACCTCTGCTCTGGGTGTTTGGGTTCTTGGGAAATTAGGGTTTCTCTATCATGACCCTTTCACATTGGAGACTGCAAAGAAATTCCTGCCTGCTGCCATTGTTTTCTACCTCGCAATCTTCACCAACACGAATCTGCTTCATCACGCCAATGTCGATACCTTCATTGTTTTCAGATCTTGTACGCCCCTTTTGGTTGCCATAGCGGATGCCGCTTTTCGGAAACAGCCCTTTCCGTCGAAGCTCACCTTCGCTTCTCTGGTGATCATATTGGGTGGTGCGGTTGGGTATGTTGCCACTGATTCAGCTTTCACCATCACTGCATACTCATGGGCATTCGCTTATTTGGTGACGATTACTACTGAGATGGTTTACATCAAACACATGGTTACGAATCTTGGGTTGAACACCTGGGGTTTTGTACTGTACAACAATCTCTTGTCTTTGATGATGGCACCCCTGTTCTGGGTTGTGACTGGGGAGTATGTTGACGTGTTCTCTGCCGTGGGAACAAATTCCAGCAATTTGGTGGAACCTGGTGCATTTTTTGCGGTAGCATTGTCTTGTGTGTTTGGCTTGCTCATCAGTTTCTTCGGGTTTGCATCCAGGAAAGCAATTTCTGCCACCGCATTTACAGTTACAGGCGTGGTTAATAAGTTCCTTACCGTGGCAATCAATGTGTTGATTTGGGATAAGCATGCCAATCCATTTGGTTTGGTTTGCTTGATTTTCACTATTGCTGGGGGAGTTCTTTATCAGCAGTCAGTTACTGGAGGCCCTCCCATACAAAATGACTCTGCAGCATCTAAGCAGGCTGTTAGTGGGGATGATGATAGCGATTCTGGAGATAATACTCAAGGAAAAGGGGGATCTGGTAAATCTGATGTATAACTGAAGGGAACAAATTTGTTCCTTTCGAATAATGGCCCAGAGGCTAACGGTTGTGTTTGGAGCACTAGATGTGGTATTAGCAGTTAAAGATCTTGAGTTATTGGTTGTATGAGAATATCCTCACTTTGGTTAGCCTTCTGAGGTATTCATTTTGTATTATTGCTGTCCTTTTTTGGTCCTTTTGACCTCCAGGGTAGGTGAACAATACTGGTTATAGTTTCTGTTGATGCTACAATACTTTAGCATTCTGAAAAAAAAAAAGAAAAAAGTCAGAAAAAATGCAAATGCTCTTGCCCTTGGTTTTAATGCTAATATTCAATTAAATTGGCAATGTTTCACTAAGCTGGTGTTTAAAACTTTAAATTCCAACTCTCTGCCTTAGAACCATCTTTAAATATAGTCATTAAGAGTATATCCTGAATTTTCAGATTGAAAGACCAAAAATAAGTTCCTTTCTCAATGATGAGGATGCCATGATAGTTTCTTTCTTTGTAGTGTGTTGTTTAATCTCCCTCTAATGTTCCTTAGAAAATATTGATAAAAAGAATTTTACTTGGAAAGTATTTTTTTATTTAGAATTGGTATTTGTGAAGTAGAGGTACATCTTTTCTGGCACCATGATGTTACAATGTGTACTATTTTGTGGATAATGTAAAATCATAATTCATAAGTTCTATTTGATTATAGTCTAGAAACTAGGTAGTGAGGATCATAGTCTTAAAAACATCAGAATTTGCATTCTTAGAGTTTGGCACAAGGATATATGATTGTTTATGACAATGTGTGATAATACCTGCAAGATATCATTGTTGAAAATTGATCAAAATTAAAAGATGGCACTAAGCACTGCCCGAGGTTAGTGTTTGCTTATTGCTTGCTTTCGTTTTCATATTTTCTAGTGGATAAAGCTTTCTTGCCTTCTCTTTGAAGCAAATAATAAAGTCTTATGAAGCATATTGTTATTGGTCATTTATCAGAAGACCCGAGAGCAACCATCTGATCATGCCAACTCAGATAATACAGGCATTTGACTCAAGTGGGTGATTATGGGATTCAGTAGACTGTTAGGTGGTGATTATTTGACCAATCATGGCAATCATCGTAACCATTACTGATATAACGGTCTCAGAGTGACTATATATATGTAATCCCTCAACCTAATGGACCATGATTAGAATTATTCTTCAATACCCCTGGTATCCTTCTCGTTGAGTAGGTAACCTGCCCTCTGTGAGCGGTGCTCTGGCATTATAGCTCGAGGGAACCCTCCTCTCTTGTCAGTAAAGGGAAGAGGTATGCATCAATTGGTATCAGAGCCGGTTAGATCCATTGACGCACGGAGGGCAAGGATTGAAGATCGTCTCAGTCGCCTGGAGAGGAACCAAGAGCGGATCTTGGCTCGTCTGGCAGAAATTGTAGAGAAGCTCAACCAGATCCTGCCTCTGACTGGTTCAGTAGAAGAACATAGTCAACGAGCTTCACCTATGGACATTAGCTCTAGGAGTTTGGTCTTGGCATCAAGTTTGCTTAAGCCAATGGAGGGTTCCAAACCAGTGTTGAACTCAACGAGTTCAATCAGTGAAGCAGGAGTGAACACTTTAATTCTTGAAGGAACGCGAGAAGCTCACTCTAACACGGTGACCACCATCACGTCGTCCAACAACTCTGGTATGTTTATTTGTTCCTTCTGTGACAAACCCCACCTTCACCCCTTTTCCCTCTCCCTCTCATTGAACCTCGGTCTTTCCATCAGCCCCTCCATCAAACAGACAATCTTCCTCGTAAACCAATCCCAGGTCACCAATGTCATCAACAGTTCACCGCCTTTGTTTTCCCCATCTTGTTTCCCAACCATAGCTCGAACAATTGCCTTGTCCTGTTTTCCAAGACCCATGGATTGGCCATATAAATTCATGTTTCTTTCCTCTCTTGCCTCCATTGATGAACCCCCTCCCTGGCCTGGATTTCTCTGGGGAAGGCATCCTTTGACTCTGCTCGTATGTTCAACCACCAATGGTAGACCATTGTCGGAGATGGCATCGTCACCCCTTAGTGGCAACTACAAGCTCTGGTAATGTCTTTTTCTTTTCCATGATAGATGGTCCTTTTACTGTTTATGACACCAGACATCAATTCGTTGGTCGTATGGGTCTGTCTATATCTCCTACTACCCCCAACAACCATTTTGTCAATCGTTTACCCTGTTCTCTAATCATTTACTATGATATGGAGATCCTCTTTCGAGACATCACCTACAAGATTTCTACTGGGTTGAGTGGGAGCTATCGTGAGGATCAATCATTAATAGCGTGTGCAAGAAGACTCAAGAGGGTTCAGTGGCAAAGAGATGTTGGCATATTTCTCGTCTGGATCCTTTCCTCCCCCTCACATTAGAGAAGTTGAACAGTGATGAAGCCAAGAACCAGGGCTCTGTGAACTTGTCTAATACAATCTTGGACACTAGCCGGATCATTGGTCAGAGGCCTTCTAACCCATCTGTTCGAAGCAATATGGAGCTCTGGGTCCTCGAGGTGGATCCTGGCCCTGGTAACCAGCCTATCATCATGGTCGCTGACAAGAGTGAGAGGAAACAGTTCATTATTGAAGAAGATGCGAGGAAAATAAGAAATAGAATAGTAGAACCACAACGGGGAAGCAGAGAAGACCGATTCCTGGCTTCTGGCGGCAAGGTAGATTCCACCCACCAAACTCATTTCTCTGGCGCCAGCAATATCAAATCCCACCACCAGGTAGACTCCGTGAACAAAGCCATTGCCAAGTATACAATTGATACTCATCTCCATGCCATCTTCAAACAATTGGGAGAGTCTGGTACATCTTTCAGTTACTTCCAATCCATTAAAAACACCAGTCAATCTATTTCCGAACAGAAAATCAATGTCATCTTGTCCAAAGTTCAATGCAGTGGCAACATACAGCCCTTGGGTTGCATGGCAATTGTTGACAAATCCAACTTCCAAGTCATCACCTACAACAAAAATGCCATGACACTGTTCGACCATAATCCGAAATTAGTACCCAATCTAAACAAACATGAGACCATTACCGTTGATACTGATATCAACACTCTTTTCACTCCATTTAGCATGGGTTTGTTTGGGTAGGTCTTGTGTGTATGAAAAATCAATTTACTGAACTATGTTGAAGCTCACTCTAAGGATTCTAAGAAACTCTGTTATGCAATTTTGCATAGTATCAATGTGGGAATAGTAATTAATTTGGAGCCTACTACACAAACTGAGGACCCCACTCTATCCATTGCTTGGGTAGTGCAGTCAAAGAAGCTCATGGTCTGTACAACTTCAAGGGCGCAATTAGCATCCCAGTTATCAAAAAGGCATCGGCTTCTGATACAAACTCCCTTTTGTGACATACTTACTGCCATTGTTATTCATCAAAATTCCCGCATTGTGGATTTTATGAGGTATGATAGTGCTGCACTTTTCTACCAAGGGAAATACTACCCAGTTCATGTCTCAACAGGATTGAACATGAGTAGTTTGACTGAAGTCGGATACCCTGGTGCAGCCTTTCTTGGTGATGCAGTTTGTGGGATGGTTGCGGCTTATACAGCATCTCGAGAATTCTTGTTTTGGCTCCAGTCCCACGTAGCAAAGGAGATCAAGTGGGGAGCTTTTGAATTAAGAGACACTTACATTTTGTCGTTCACCATCCAACCTGTTAGCACCAAATATTGGCTTAAAGGAGAGACGACGGGTTTCAACAAGTTGCATGAGAGTGGAGTCAACAAGCCCAAGGCTAATTCTTCTTTTATTCCAGTAAAAGATCTTGCCTTTTGGCATTTCAAGGAAGCTACATGGAATGATCATCTTGCATGCCACCCAATGACAGATGTTGACACCACCAGTACTCAGGCTATCCTTTTAAACAACACCTGTCCGTTAGGTGGCCAACCCAAGGTTTTGTTGTCCTCAGGAGAAGTAGAGTGTGATCTCCTATTTCTAGTCAGAATTGATGAAGCTCTGAATGCCGGTTATCTCAATGGACAACCATATTAAACCATCAACATTACAGTGTGCATGGGGTGTCAATCATGGTAGGGGCTGGAAGCGTTGTCTCTCTAGAGAGTCTCTCATTGTGGTTGACACAGGCAGTTGCAGAATCTGGATGGCTAACTCATATAGGTTCTGGTACTGCCCTACATTACAACCACGCAAATTTGATGGGAGATTGGCAATCAGCATTGGAATTAATGAATCTGAAGCAAGCAACAACATTAATCCTAACTCTTGAGATTGAGAAGGACCTGCGAGAAGCAAGCAACTCATATCTACTGATAAGGCATTCTGTTAATCATGTGGTTTTAACGGAGGTATCAACAAGGTTTCATGAAATGATGACCAGCAAGGAAGTGAGTATTATTATTGGATTGAACAAAGGTGAAAGAGGCACTACTATTGCTGCCTGGTTCCTCTACCAACTGTGCTCATTAGAACATGTGCTACTCAGGAGACTGTACTAACCCAAAAATACCTTATTATATGCCTTGAGGACAAGGCTCAACTTAAGGGGGTGGGAATGTTATTGGTCATTTATCAGAAGACCCGAGAGGCAACCATCTGATCATGCCAACTCAGCTAATACAGGCATTTGTGACTCAAGTGGGTGGTTATGGGATTCAGTAGACTGTTAGGCGGTTATTATTCGACCAATCATGGCAATCATTGTAACCATTACTGATATAACGGTCTCAGAGTGACTATATATATATATATATATATATATATATATGTAATCCCTCAACCTAATGGACCATGATTAGAATTATTCTTCATAACCCCTGGTATCCTTCTCGTTGAGTAGGTAACCTGCCCTCTGTGAGCGGTGCTCTGGCATTATAGCTCGAGGGAACCCTCCTCTCTTGTCAGTAAAGGGAAGAGGTATGCGTCGCATATGAAATAGTATGTTATTGGTAAAGTAATGGCTGGAAGCAACAGGTTTATGATAAATTAAGTTTCATCTGGATTGAATTGTTGACAACTCTGGGTTGTGGATATGAATAATGGCTTTGATGGCCAAATTTTAGGGAATGGAGCGTCTTCAGATATGCTAGAGTTAATATTTTCGTGTAGATGCATCTTGATAGTCAAATTGAAACTTGAATAGGGCTTGCAGGAAATGATTATTTTCTACACTCTCCAGAGACAACAGTGTGACCAAACCTTCCTGTGAAATTTATTGATTTAAGGCAGGTTGTGCTACTTGTTGGGTTTAAAGAATTACTTAAGGCATTTTGTTATGTAAAGGTGTTTTGCATTTTGTCGTGTTTTAGAATGGAAACTGGACCGTCCTCTTTGGTGTGGAAATAGGATGGATCGTTGGTGTGAGAAAACAAGGATTTTGGTATAGTGCAGGAGACAACACTATGCACCAAATTTCTTTATTTCTAAGGTTATGCCCACTAAGACCTAAATTTAGCATGGCCTTATCTTGTGTTACTTCAATATTTTTTATTTATTAAGAACAAAAGAGATTGAGTTCCATGAATATGCAGGATAGATGGATGCTATTTGCTGTTGTTCCATCTATTTGCATATCAAATTCCAAAATCTCAATCTATAATGAAGAAAATGATAGTAGATCGTCGTTTTATAAGCTTCAAGTAAATATACTGTTTTGTTGTATTCTATTCTTTTCCCCCTGCTTTTATGAATCAAAAACAGAGAAATTTTGAAGTCTGAAATGATAGTAGATATATAATGAAGAAATGATAGTAGATTGTCGTTTTGTTGTATTCTAAAGTTTGAAGTCTGAAAAGCAAAAACACCTTCGAAAAAGCTCTAAAAGCATTTAGTGGAAAATTTGTTTTTTCACTTTTGCAGGAATCTGAATATACTGAAAACTGTATATTTTACAAATTTACCCTTCAAAGTTGTTATTTAAATAAAAAATAGATGAAAATGATTAAGATACACATTAAAGGGTAATAAAAAGATTATTATTATAAAAGTAAAAAATTAAAAAAATACAAATTAATAAACAATATTATAAAAATAGAAAATAAGTATAAAATATAATAATGTTAATAATATTAATAATACTTATAAAAAATAATGTAAGATATACATTTTTCCTTTATTATTTAAAAAGCACAAAATGTCAAAAATTTATTAACCAATAAATAAAAAATATTAAATATACTATTAAGGATAATTAAAATATTGCAACTATTTTAATAAAATAATTAAACACCATAAAATAAATACAAAACTTTATTAAATGGTAAACCAATAAATGAAAATGGTAAAAAAATTAAAATAGTAAGTTAAATTAATAAAAAGATCATCTTAATTTCTTTATAGAATATATTAGAATTATAAAGAAAGAAGAAAGGAGAAGAATATAAATAAAAAGATTAAAATAGAGTTTAACAACGTGAAGAAGGAAAACAGGTTGGGGATCAATCATTTTTTATGAATTTTTGATAGGGGCACACATAAATTAAGAGATAACTTTTTCTCTCAAAAAATCTATTGCTTTTGTTTTCAGAGCGGGCAAATCTACTCTGCTTCGCAAGCAGCGACCTAAAGAACAACGTCGCTGCTCCTCCCCTTCCCATCTCTCTATTTGTTTTACCTTTGTTTTATCTCATTCTCTCCTTCCTCTTGCTTTTTATTGCTTTTTTTCCTTTCTCCAAATCCCTGCTACAAAGATCGGCGACCCTGGTTCGGCTCCACTGTTCATCACAGTAAAGAAGAAGAAGAAGAAGAAGAAGAGATGGGCGAACAGTGAACAGTCATTGTTAGGCTATTACAGAGGACAATGGCTGCACGTTCAGAGGTAACGAACTCACTAAATGATTCCGAGAATTGGAGGTCGATTTAGCGCTAAGGAATACCACCTAAGTTTTTTAGCATGGTATCCAAAGCTTGAAAGCAGTTACATATTAGTACTCTATACTTAGGGGTTAGTCTCACTTTAGTACCTGAATTTTAAAACGTGCCACTGAGTACTTGAACTCATGAAAATTGTTAGTTTAGTCCAAAATCGTCACAAACATTAAGTGACATGTAAAAAGACATAAATATCCTTCAAATGTCATTTAATTTTCTTTATCACCAACTCATCCTGTTCTGGCAGGGGCAGCACTCCACCACTGCTACCTCTATGCTCATAACGGACTTTGCTGTAAGCCCAACTCATTTGCCCAAAACTAGGACAGTTTATTCAGTCTATCCATGAGTCACAAGCTTGCAGTTGTAATTGCAAAACCAATTCCAGTCCAGTTCCGACAACGATGAGATGAAGCTAAAACCTGTACCAAGAGAGCCATTTAGCTTCCCCTCAATAGGAGTGCCTGATTTATCAAGACCAACAACCTGAAACGAGGACATGATATTTATAGTTTGATGCGGATGCGGATGTTTTCCTTGTTCTCTTATTCAATGGCCATACTTAAAACAGGAAGAAGCCCAAACTTTTAATACTTTGAATAACAGGATAAAAATGATCTCAAAAATATAAAAAGAGTAGTTTTGATATTTTTAAGAAATTTAAGTCACACATGTCGTCGTGTGATACAAATAACTAACAAACTGTTAAGGGTAGGTACTAAATTGACAGTTTTCGGAAGTTAATGTACTCAAGTGGCATGTTTTGAAATTCAGGTATTAAAGTGAGACTAGCCCGTACTAATATGCAATTTACCCATAAATAATTAGTTAAATAAAGTAAAGATGAAAAAGAAAATATATTTCAGTTTTATAAAAAATAAAAAAAAAAACAAAGAAAAATTACATTTTTGGTGAAGTTATCATAAATAGTCATTTCACATGGGCACAAGTTTATATCAGAAAAAAAAAAGAAAAGAAAAATTACAGACTTTGTTCCACTTTTCCTAATTGTAAGTGGAAATTTAGCCTTAAATCAAACAAGGATATTTTTAGGATTTTAAAAGGGTAGTTTTTCTCTTGCTACGTGAGCACATGGGAGATGCTGAAGTCATTTCAAAAGCCAGCAGAAAGTAGGATCAAGGCCCAAGGGCACTTGATCATCATCAAATGTTTAAGCTAAGCTGTTTGGATTTATAGAAAATAAGAGAGAAAAAGAAAGTTGAAGGGAACATGGCCTTAGAGCATAATCACCAAAACCAGATCGGTTGAAGAGCAAAAATAACAAGAAAAATAACTGGGTATAGAATTTAATGTTTGAGAGTTGGTTCTGCTGTCTGGTTGTCTTGGTGCAAGTAGAATGCACAGCATTGCCTTTGTGACCAAAGATTCACTTGATATGCTCTCATATAGTCCAAAATCTAACACTCCATGGAGAAACGGGATAAGGAAAATTAAAATGCATTTATCCTTCTATTAGATTATCACCAATAGTCCTTACAAGAACAGAATCCCTGCCTGAAATGGTGAAAGCGAGTCTTATCCCTAACAATCAGTTTCCTATCATACAGTCTTGATATCAACTTGGCCACATGGTGACAGTCAATGCACATTCTAAGATTCTTCGTGATTCTAATCGTGGCCCCAGGTGGTGAGCTTATCATCCCAAAGGCAATCGCCAATTTCTCGCTATGCTGGTGAAGTGCATTCTCCTTCTCTTCCTCTCCTATGTCTAGGAATACCTCAGTTGTATTGGGAACATACCCTGCAAGTTTCAAGTCCTGAGCCATCTTATCCAACTTTGAGTATATCTCACTGGATTGAGGGTGGGACTGGTCTCCAGCCACAAACTCATGGACAACACCATTCATCTCTATCAAACTACAACCAGGGGTCTTTTTAATTTTGCGATCCATCATCATTTTTCTTACTTCACGCACATCTCCCCATCTATTGCAAGCAGCATAGATGTTAGAAAGCAAAACATAGACGGCCCCATTTTCAGGCTCTAGCTCGAGGAGATGCTTTACTGCTATTTCAGCCAGTTCTGCATCCTTGTGAACTCGACAAGCACCAAGAAGAGCACCCCAGACTATGGAGTTTGGTTTCATTGGCATATTTTTTATAAGCTCCTGTGCTTCTATTAGGTGCCCAGCTCGACCAAGAAGATCAACCATGCATCCGTAATGCGTCACGTTGGGCTCAATCCCATGAAAGGTGGTCATTCTGCTGAACAACTCCCTCCCTTTATCCACGAGGCCCCCATGAGTACAAGCACAAAGAACACCAATATAGGTTACTTCGTCCGGTTTTACTGAAGACCTAAGCATCTCATGAAACAGATCAAGAGCTTCTTCCCCATGCCCATTAACTGCTAGTCCAACAATCATGGCAGTCCATGTAAATTTGTCCTTCTGAGGCATCTCTTGGAAGATTTTTTGCGCACTGTCTATATTCCCACACTTGGAGTACATGTCAATCAAAGCATTTCTCACGAAGATATCAGCCTTAATCTTGTTTTTGTCTATGTAAACCCTTAACCATTCGCCTGCCTCAAGTGCTCCAAGATGTGCACAAACCGTGAGTATGCTAACCATAGTGAACTTATCCGGCCTGACATTTGCAGCTTGCATCTCAGAAAAAATCCTCATTGCCTCCCTGAAACGGTTGGCCCTTACATACCCATCAATCATCGCTGTCCATGAGATGATATCTCTTTCAGGCATCTGATCAAAAAATTCTTGAGCTTTGTCAAGTTGTGCTGAATTTGTGAACCCAGTAACCATGGCAGTCCAAGAAACCACATCTCTGATCTTCATACTCTTGAACAGCTCAAGGGCAGCATCCATTTCCCCACATGCTGCATACACGCTAATCAAAGCATTTTCCAGTGTCAAGTTAGGTTCAACCTTGCGATCTTTGATATACCGGTGAACCTGTATGCCAATCTCCAAGTCCATCAACTTGGTACAAGCCGATAGCACTGAAACAAGAGTAGCCGGTGTTGGTAATACTCTCATCTTCTCCATCTCATTGAAAAGCTTAAGGGATTCTTCAAAACTTTTACTCTTGTTATAACCAGAAATCATGGCATTCCAAGAAACCACGTTTCTTTTAGAACAATTATCGAAAACCACACGGGCTGTCTCAATTTGACCGCACAATAGATGCATATGGACCAAAGCATTCTGAACAAAAGCATTAGAATCAAAACCCAACTTGAGGATTTGAGCATGTAGCTCCTCTCCACAACAAAGTGCTATTTCACGACTAAACGCTTTGAGCAAGATAGGGAAAGTATAGCTGTCGGGTTTGACGCCTTTCCTTGACATTTCTAGGTACATCAAGGCCGCATAATTGGACAGTTTACTTCGGGAATATCCTTTGATCATTGTATTCCAGATATACAGATTGGGTTCCTGAATTGTGTCAAATACCAGACGGGCGTAGTCCATATCACCAGCTTCATGGGTGCAACAGAAAGCAATAATTCGATTCTGTTGGGGGGGATTAAGTATGAGACCAGTTGTGATCATATGAGAGTGGATTTGCTTGAGTTGTTTCATGGATTCACACTTCATTAGGAGGAAGACGGATGGAATATCTTCCGGTGGTGAAAGGAGGCCGGTGGGCGGAGAGAGATGATCTGAACCGAGAGAAGCCATGGTTGAGATCCACGTCCACCCTTTGAAGTTTGATGCAGGACGGCGTGACAGTCTTAGAGAGGAACAGAGAAAATGGACATTGAGATGGATTGAGAATGACATGAAATGGAGCTAGAAATCTCATCGGCATCTCGAGCACCGGAAGGAAGACGAGCACTTCCCTTAATTGTTTCTACTTTCTAGCCATCGCCATATTACTTGTACATTTCGATTGACAGATAAACGGTTATTCCCGCCAGATATTAATATATTATTGGGCCGTTAATGGTGCCTTGGTCCAGTGGGCCTTATCCCTTGAGACTGACAAGTGGCAAATCACTGGAACTCTGGAAGTTCGTCCCTTGTTCTCCCTCCGTAAACAAGAATCTTCTACGGGAACTGGACGATACTGGGCCAAATGGCCCATTACCATTTACCACGTCAGTCTGAATGTACAACTCACTTGTATGGGGCTAACGTGGCGTTCAGTGGAGTTTTCTAGTTTAAAGAAAGCTGCATATCTTGCAATCTGGAAAACTAATGTGTTTTAGTTGGGACTTTGTTGGGCCTGAGTGGGTTTGTTGCATTTGGGCTGCATAGAAAAAGAAACCTGTTCACTCCAGCTCAGAACCCAACAATAGAAAACATGGAGATAGATGTTCAGGGACCCTCTACTTCTAATTTGGTTTATTAATTCTCCAATTCCAGATGCCTCTTCTAGGTAATTAAAAGAAAGAAAAAAAAAGCACTTCTCTTTGATCCGCCTGATGCGAATCTGACTCAATGAATCATTTGCGACCCTGAAATAGTTGCAATTGGAGTGTCTCTCAACCAAAGATAGAGATAAAAAGAGGACATAAATGCTAGTTCCATCATATTATACCATAGACTTGGCCCAATATTAGAACTGTAGATGTACAACGTGAACTCATATTAATATGGCGAGGGAATTAAAAGCTGGAATAGGGATGCCAAAGGGTGAGGTTAGTACGGGTTTTTCTCAACCCTAACCCGATCATCCATCATCCCAGCCCAAACCTGACATGACCTTATAATTTAGGGAGAATAACTGTTGAGTTCTACCGTATAGGTGGGATGAATCCTAACCATGAATTGATGTCAAATTCGCAGGATGCAGTTTATAGAGGGGGTTGTAATTTTAGAATTTTGCAGTGGGCTGTAATGTACTTCTCCGTATAACTTAATACTGACCCAACCTGATTTGTAGCATTATAATTGTATTTTTTGTAATACATTTTTAAAATCTAAATGCTATTAATTTAAGTTGGAAATTGGTTTATAGTTATTAATGTATCATTTTTTATCATTAAAAGAAGAAAAAAATCAAAGTATATATGAAAAGAAATCATAAACTTTTGTTATGGAGTTAGAATTTAATAAATTACAAGTGTTTGTAGTAGCATCATGACCAAAGGGATGGATTAGCCAAAAGGCCCAAAACCATAACCCGACTCAGCACAAAGAAAATAAGCCCTAACCTGACCCTATAGGCTTATACCTAAATAGACCTAATCCTAACCCAACCATATACGTAGGAATGCAATGGGGCAGGGATCATATTCTCTATCCCCGACCTCGATTTTAAAATTAACCTTAATCCATGTTCCTAATCCCTGTAGAGGATAAAATTTGTCTTCCACCCCCGATCCTCAATGGGGATGGGTTCCCTACGGAGACCTGAATTTCCGAATTTTTTTTAGATAACAGTATTTTTTTGAAAAATAAATTTATTTAAAAATAAATAAATAATTTAAATTATAAATATGTTTTGATATATATAAATAATATAATAATATATATTTAATATAAATAACATTTAATATATATATTGTTCGGGTCATAGTTGAGCTAGCCCTGCGAGACACGTGGCTGCCCAACTATCGCCTTGCATGTCATCCTAACTCGGCTAGGTCGGCATAGCCTGGCCATGTCGGGCTAGCTCGACCAAGCTACGCTATTACTGTGGAACCCTATCTTATCCTTCCAGTCACGTCATATGGATGAGCACAACTACGGGTAAAGAGGAGTAAGGAAGACGACTCCGCTGGGGAATGAGACTCTATCCCGAATACCTCGGCGGCTAACTTCATCCTGACAACCCCGGAAGCCTAGTCTGACAAAGACACGGATCTTCGGCTATAAAAAGGTACTCCATGCTCAAGGTAAGAGATCAAACTTCTGAGACCTACGCCGCTACTTAGCTCGGATCGACATCCTTATAGCTCGGCCCAACTATCCTATCACTGCCTACTGACTTGAGCGTCGGAGTTCTTACCCGGGGATAACTCCTCGAGCCTCTAACTTCTGTTTCCTTGATCACAGATCTTGAAGTACGGCCTTGTTCTTGTAACTCGACCCCACCCTTTCAGCAAGGACTATCTGATTGCCCTCCTCGATTCGTATACCACCTCAGATTGAGCAGCATCATATATATAATTGGGATCGGGCGGGACAAGGACTTCAATTCCCATCTCCGACCCCGACCCCAATCGGGGTTCCTATTAATCCCTACATATACGGTCTGGTGAAGCCAGATTCACTATTTATCCGACCCATTGACATCCGAATTGGATGGAGCAGATAAGTAACACGTGTATAGTACAAGAGATGAGTCATTCATGACGTATAGACGTGATCATTAATGCTTAAGCTGTGGAGTATTAGTGCTCCTACAAGGAAGGACTGATTGATGAATGATGAAAATAGACCTCTGAACCCTAATTTATCATAAGTTCATAAAAGACATCAATTGTACTCCATGACGCCAATGAGTGACTTTTCTTTGCTTCAAAACAAAAACCTTTACAAGTACTACTTCGGGTTCGGGGGTGACCACCCGACCCGAACCATCGGGGTAATTGGTTAGGTGTTCCACGCGGGTGCCACCGTGCCAGTGAGCAGTGACCCATGTGAATCCCTACCCACCACCAACTCAGAACCTGTCCAAACTCCAAACTCTCAAATATGGGCTCATGGGCCATTGGGCCCTCCTCCCATGAGAGAGAGATCTTTGTTTGAACAGTATATGATTATGATGGGATGCACCTAAGACTAATATCAATCTTTGGTTGATGCCAATCAAACGCGCATTAATATGTGCAAGTGCAACAATCAGCACATATCTAAATTTGTATCTTTTTGACCATCCAAATCCGGTAAAAATAGATATGTATAATGAATACTAGCAAATGTGCATGTGTTTCGTGTGGTAATTTTAGATGATGACCATTTGATAATAATATGTGGCCAATTTTTTTTATACTTTTTTGTTTATAAAAATGTTTATTATTTATTATATTTATTCTTATTTAATATGATGAATATATAATATTAGAGATGCGTTCATTGTTATTTAATTATGGCACCAAGTGTTGATACATTTGACCCAAAGGTTGAACTGTTGACCTGCTACCAATCAAATAGGAAAATAATTTTATTTTTGGATATATATATCTAATTATCAGAATTTATTAGTGAGAAAAATGTCTTAAATATAGGATTTGATGATAGAGAATGAGAGTTAATATCTTAAATATAAGACTTAGGGGGTATTCTACAATGTGAGTTGCTTTTCTTGTTGGTTCCAAAAACAAATCAGAACCATTTTGTTTGAAAATAGATAATTTCTTAAAACAAAAAACACAAGAAACATGTTTTTGGTTGTGTATGTGGTTTTTGTTTTGAGAACTGAAACCAATATTTTGTTTGTTCCAAAAACATGTATCGTTTTTTGAAACAAAACCATGTTTTTCCCTTTGGGAACAAAAATAGAGTTCAAAAACATGTTTTCTTTCTTTCTTTTTTCTGTTGCTGATGTAGAAAATTTGTTTTTGTTTTAAAAACTAATATTTTGTTCGTTCCAAAAACATGTATTGTTTTTTGAAACAAAACCATGTTTTTCCCTTTGGGAACAAAAATAGAGTTCAAAAACATGTTTTCTTTCTTTTTTTTTTCTGTTGATGATGTGGTGATTCCAAAAAACAAATGAAAACAAAAACATTAACTCTCCATTAATTAGATAGAATTAAATGAGGGAAAAAGTAGTATTTAAGTTATATTTTCTACCCTCACAATTAAAATTGACCAAGTTCTAGGGGTGCAAATAGATCAGATTGTAATTCAATCTGATCTGATCCCATCTGGTCGAATTCGAATCACCCTTGTTTGGATCTTTAGATCGGATCGGATAATATGATCCGATCAGAAATCAGATCGGATTGGATCAGATAATATGATCCAATTAGAAATCAGATCAGATTCGGATCACCCCCTATTTATAAGTATATTTTTATAAATTTACTATATTATTTATTTTTTATAAAAAACATGTATATATATGATGAAAATAATTAAAAAAATACTTATATTTTTTTTACTTTATTTAAATTACTATATTTTAATTTTCTTTTATTAATTAAAAAAACAAGTCGGATCGGATCAGATCCAAAACTCCAACATATCAATAGGATCTGAATTCAAATTGAATCCTATCAAATCCAATCGGATCGAATCTGACATGAATAATGTCGAATCGGTTTTAAATATACCTTGATTCGAATCCGATCCGATCCATTTGCATATAATAGGAGTATGTTAGTCAAAAAGAAAAGTACCACAAGCTCATTACTACTTTTAATGATACTATAGATATAAATATAGTTTACATGAGATTGAAAGCCTAATTGCATGCTTTCTTTTATTAGCTTTAGGTATAGCCCTAGTTCACTAGATCTTGAGAAAAGTTAACAAAAGCTGTGTTTTTTTCTTTAACTTGTATGGTTTGGTTTTTATATATAAAAAGGCTACTACCCCGTCCTTTGGATGTATGGTCAATCAAGGTTTTTAAAATCGAACTGGACATAAAACTGAATGGACGGCCTGTTCTAACTTCAAAAAATAAAAAAATGGTCAAAACCATTATTCGGATTGTTGTTTCAATAACCTGGCTCAGCGGTTTACTGACCAAATCAATGGTTTTTTTTTTATCAAAAAACGGTTTTAGAATGAAATAGAACCGATTACTTGACTGGTTCTTAAATCAACTGGTCTGACTGTCTAATCCGGTCTGGTTTTGAAACCATGTGATCAACATTACATGAGAATGATGGCCCAGCTGCTGGTTTCTTTAGATATAGCCCTAGCTCTAGGGAAGCCAACAAAGCTGCTACTTTTTTTTTCCCTTGTAAAAAAAGGG